TAATCCTTCCTAACTCATACGTTTACATGACCTATGCGTGAGACGAAAAAAACCGATGACTTGCCCTCTTGAACAACAGCCTCCACGCTGTGCAAACCATTTGAGACTTGCCGACGGACTCCTCCGAATGTAAAAAGTTCAACTCGGAGTCGCACAAAGTTGCTCCGTTAACCGTGAAAAAGTTTCAGAAACTAGAAACGTCGATTTCTTAAGTCTCCCCTTCGTGTCGGATGTTGTTACAGCGAAGAAGCAAATCATTCACCCTCGATATTAAAACATTGCAATTTAATATTATATATTAAATTGCATTTATTGTGATATATGTATATTTTTGTAGTAATAATCTGGATAATTAGTAACATTATCTATTAAGTAATTTTATAATCAAATCTATATAAGCATAGCAAATTGAAATGATTGTAAATCAATAATATATAATATATTATATATAATAAATAATATATAATATATTATATTTAAGTTCATTATATTAATCTCATTCATTTTTTTCTTGATTTACAAAAATTGCATAATAACGAAATTAAGCTTTATTTTTTGGGACAGTTTGTTGCTAATATTTGATTTTAAAAACAGCTGATTTTTTTCAATTCAGTTTTTAATACATATATCACATAAATGAATAATACAACTTTTTTTTTGCCTTGCGATAAAAATTGATTCGGAATCGCGAAATTATCTTTGCGAGCGTGGCATGGCGAGTATCTGTTACGCGAGAAATCTATTGTAATTAAGACCAGCACCGCATAGAGTTTGGAATTTTTTTTGATTCGATTACAATCTTCAAAGATAAAGAGTCTGCTTTTTGATAAGCTGTAAGGATGTTTCATGTGTTTGTTTACGTGCATCAGGCTACGCGACGTTTGCTCTTAACGCGTCAAATATTTGCACGTCTAACAATGCGCGAAGCGTAACAGAAAAAAAGAGCGAGAGAAAAGGAAAAATCCAAGCTACATTACGTGATATCATATTGACAAAAACCATGGCGAACACTGTCTAATATTTATTCCTCGTTTATCTCGTGTTACACTTTATTGATATAACAGAGATTTAAACTAGGTATTACGCAATCACAAAATAGTCGATTATTGCGAAAATTTTTCCTAAGTGACAATACTTCTTTTTAAAAAGGAGAAAAAGCTATTGGACAACTACTTGTTCTCTCTTAGAAAGAAAGATTTTTATTTCTCTCTCTTAAAAACCATTACAAATTAAATAGTTTGTAGATGCTGTTTAACTGATGTCTTCAAATTGGGCACAATATTTTTTTTTACGTAGAAATAACGTGAGTTTTTCTTAATTTATTCATAAGATAGTTGATTCATGCCTTTTTTACGATTATTGATTTAATTACATTTTAATATAATTAAGTAATAATGACTGAACTTTCTAGCTTACATTTCAAAATTGAAATTAGAAATCAGTTGATCGAAAAACTCGGTAGCAGATAAGATATAGTGGTAGTGAACACATCAATTCATTATATAGTACATCTCTCACATGGGGTGTGTAGCAAAGACGTGATTCAAGTATTATCATAGATACGCAGAGCTGGAAGTGCCCGCGATAACAATCTCTCAATCTCAATCTGACTAGATGAAAACTCGAAACCAGACAGTTCGTAATATATTGCTGCGTTATTTGAACAGATTATACGGATTTAACCATGAACGAACACCGCATGCTTCGACGTGTGTATTACACAAACGCCAACGTATCGCCTAATTCTTCAGAGATTCTTTCTCATTGTTTACATTACCTCGCATGAATTTTCTACACAATCGTGTATAAGAAAGACATCTTACAAATAAGATAAATCTTTCGTAAGTGACTTATATAAAGACATTTGTAAACTTTGTAAAATTTATTTTTTAAACGCGTATATAAGTATCGATTTGAACTCCATGCTTTTCTTCAAATAAATTCATGTATATATATATATAATTAAAATTATTAAAATATATATATAAAATTAAAATATATAATTACATACTTTAGACAATGAAAATATTTTATGAAAGTCTTTATGAAATGTTCTTTTTTGCTTCACAAATCTCTGACCGATAGAGAGCTGTGATATTTTCACAATTTATATCTCACAAAAATTCTCAATCCAAAAATTATAATTAGATAAAAAAGAAATGAATTAAAATTTTATTTTACAAATTCGGATTTTATCACTTGATTTCTTCTTGATATCAAGATTTAATTTCATAATCATGATTTAAGGAGAAAATACAAAGAAAAATCAAGAAGAAGCGTTCAAAGTAATATCAAATCTCGAAGATTATCAGATATCTTTTCTGATTAAAATGGATGTTTTCAATTAAATTTTATGAATTCTTGGCTTTTGTGGGTTGACTCTATTATTTATCCATGCCATTCCTTGCCATTCTTGCTGCGCATCCTTGCCACAAGGATATCCTGCTGCCCCGATACCAGCCATACTGTCTCAGACTGTAGCCATTCTGTGTACCAACGAAAAGTCTAAGGTCGCTTGCTTATTCGTAACGCCGCGAAGGCCTCGGAGTTCCCTTATCGAGGAGTGGTGGATTAACGTGCACGCCTTTGATCTCGCCGGCGGAGCCTTATCTAATCGTGTCCCTCTCTCTTGAGCCATCTCTTGCCGTTCTCACACGCACAAACACGCGCACACACATTCTTACATCCCTGTTTCCCTTTTCCTCTCTCTCCATTCTATATTTTGTGCGCGTGTTACCACCAAGAATGCCACGTCGTAAGAAACGCATTCACACTGTGCGATTGCCAGCCACTTCTCTTCTTTTTTTTTTTGCCGCCTTCTGGCACGTCGTTTCCTCTCATAAGAAATAATCGCGCTTCGGGTTATTCATTGCAAATCATAGATGCATCTTTCATTCTGCAAATGCCGTTATTCAAGTTACCGTAATTTTGTATGTGTATGTGTATAATATGTGTGCGTTGCCTTTTCTTTTACCATAATAATTACGACTATCATAAAATATAAATTAATCGACATTAGAAGTTAATAACTCTATATATCTTCCTATTTCTTTTTTAATAATTTTTATGTGCTTAGAGCATGATTATAATCGTTTCAGATGCAAGCTATTAATGTGACAGTATATTTTATATGTATAGCTATTGACGTTTCATTATATATATTTGTAAAATTTTTAATTAAAATTAATTTTAAGAGCAACGAATATCATGAAAGGCAATATATGAAAATATTGATGATATTAGGTAGCAATTATTTTCCTTAATTGCTATCTTAATATTTTATTTTTTTTAATCTTCATTACTTTCATACTACTTTGTCACTAACTACAATTTTAAGGTAATTAATTATATTAAGACAAATAATTACTCTAAATTATAAATTTTGTATACTGTTCTAATTATTTCAAATAACTATTTCATATTTTTTTTAACGCAATTTTTTCATTTGTATTAAGTATAATTAATATAAATATTAATGTTAAATTAAATTCTTGCTAAAAATAATTAAAATGGGATGAACATTATTTTAATATACAGGGTGTTTCCAAATTAAATGG